GCGTGGGCTGCCTGGGGGGACAAGCCAAAGGCCCCCGGCTCGTTCCCAGTCCCAGCTGGGCCCCCCGAGGGGTCTCTCCGGGGTCAGACACGTGGGGCTGGAGCCTTGTGCCCTCTCGGTTTCAGGCCTTCGGGTAGCTGCTCTGTCCCCTACCCCTGCTGCGCCCCAGCCAGGCCAGGCTGGCCCTGGCCCGGGAGCTGCTGGGTCCACGGTGAGCAGTTGTAGCAGGCATAGGAGAGTGAGGCAGGGCTCCAGCTGGGCCCCCCGAGGGGTCTCTCCGGGGTCAGACACGTGGGGCTGGAGCCTTGTGCCCTCTCGGTTTCAGGCCTTCGGGTAGCTGCTCTGTCCCCTACCCCTGCTGCGCCCCAGCCAGGCCAGGCTGGCCCTGGCCCGGGAGCTGCTGGGTCCACGGTGAGCAGTTGTAGCAGGCATAGGAGAGTGAGGCAGGGCTCCCCCCCAAACCCTGCCAGCAGAATCCCAGGGCTTGGCTGTGGGGTGGTTCAGGGCAGCAGGAGGCAGGGGCTGGGGGGTAGGGTTGCTGGGGCACACCATGTCCTAGCACCAGGAGAAGGATGGGGGGGGCGTGGGAAAGGGAGGGGACGAAGGGGTGTTATAATATTAGCCCTGCACAGGCCTTGAACGCGGCTCCACCTGGAGGGGAGTCTCCAGCTGCGGTGAGCGGAAGGGGGTCTATGCCACACAGGCGGATGGGAGCAGCATCATGGTGCGAAGCAGAGTCGTTTATTGGGTCTGTGGGGGGGGCACGTGGCCCCATGTGCAGCGGCGCTGGCTGGGCTCAGAACTGGACGTAGGACAGGACCACGTCCCCGTCGATGTCCAGTGTGTCGATCTGCTGGAAGCTGGGGCAGCGGTGGGCGTAGTTGAAGAGCGGCTGCCCGTTAGCGAAGACCTTGAAGCGCTGGTTCCCGCAGCGGATGGAAAGCTGGGAGAGGGGGAGGGGAGCAGCCATGAGAGGGCCCCACCCAGACTGGAACCAGCGCTGCCTAGGCGTGGTTCTGTCTCGCCCCAGTGCCTTAGTTTCCCCCTCTGCCCCATGGACTAGCAACAGGGTGCTTTCCCAAGGTGCTTGATGTCATTGCCATTGTAGGAAGGGGGAAACTGAGGTACGAAGCGGCACTCCCAGAGTTCAGGACTAGTAGAGAGTCCTCACTAAGCCCAGCTCCACCCCGGCCTGCAGAAACTGCTGCTTGGCCCCACTCCTGCCTCCCCTGGGGCAAATCCACTCTGCTTCCACCATGCCTGCCTGGGGCCCAGCAGATCGGGGAGGGGAGGGGTCAGCCCCTGGGCTCTCATGTGCCAGTGCCTTTCCATATGGTTCAAAGTGATCAATGAGCCCTGATGAAAGGAAACTAGGAGAGGGCCAGAGGAGAATCTCCCTTAGCTGCCTGCTGTATTGGAGCTATGACACACTGACATGCAGTTCTGATGCCATCCAGCAGAGGATATCACCACGCAGGTATATACTGCCAAGCTAAAGGTGAATCCCCATTAACTGTTAACAGTACAGGGCATAAGATACACAGATAACCCATTCAAATTCCATCCAGCAGAGGGCAGCAGTACCTACACACCCTATCTTCCCCCTCCTTTTCCAAAGGCCCCAGGATTTAAACTAATGGAGACTCCCCATTAGCTGCCAGCTGTATAGGGACTATGACACACATGCAGTTCTGCTGCCATCCAGCAGGGGGCGACAATGCACAGACCCGGGGCTTGAGCTAAAGGCAAATCGCCATTTGCCGCTGCAGTACAGGGCCTATGCCACGTAGCCGGCGGTTCACTCACGTCGAAGTACTGGCCTGGCAGGAAGGGGTTGTGCGGCAGCTCCCGCTCCTCCGAGCCCCACTGGCCGTTCAGGCGGCTGTTCCTCACCACGAGGCGCTCGTTCACGCGGGGGTTGATGTGCAGCGCGATGTCCTTGGAGCGGCCCATCGTGAAGTTGATCCGGAAGCTGGAGGCCAAGAACCAGTGAGGC